ATAATAATAATAATAATAATAATAATAATAATAATAATAATAAAGAACTGCTAAGAAAACAGCTCAGTAAGTAGTCCTAATAACACTTGGTAGTAATCAGAAGTGCAAATTAATTTACCCACTAAGAAATTCATTTACTTAAGCCAACTTTGGGTTCATCTCCTTAGAATAGTGATAGTTTTTCTTTTTTCATGAGAGTAGATTTTTATTTTGTTACTTGGTTAATAAATTTTTCAGTTTTACTTTGCTATTTGTGTGTGTTGGGTGGGTTAGGCACACATGTATGGAGATCAGAGGACATCTTTCAGGAGTCATTCTCTTTCTAGGGATTGAGAGCAAGTTGTCAGCCTAGCATGGATACTTTTGCCCACTTAGCCACCTCAGCACTCAATTGACAAGTTTTTGAAATAATGACTGATAACTGATAACAATTCATTCATTATGTGATATATTTTACATGTTCATCAAATGACATCATCATCGTTCTTGTTTTTTGTTTTGCTTTTTCCAAGATAGGATTTCTCTATGTAGCTCTGTTCTGAAACTCATTCTGTAGACCAGGCTAGCTTCAAACTCACAAAGAGCCACCTGCCTTGGCCCCCAGTGCTGGGATTAAAGACACGTGCCACCACCCAGCATTATTTTTACTTTATGTTATGTGTTATGTTTGTGGGTGTTTTGCTAGCATGTATCTTTGTGTACTATTTGAGTGCCTGGTGCCTATGAATGCCAGAAGCAGGCATCAGATCTCCTTGCATTGGGGTTACAGATGGTTATGCTTAACTACCATGTGAGTGCTGGGATTTGAACCTGGTTCCTCTGGAAGAGAAGCCAGTATTCTTAACTGCTGAGCTATCTCTCCAGTCCTTGGGTGCTTTTAAAAATTAAGATATTTAGGCTGCTCACATTTTCAAACATGACTTGCCAGACTTGGTGTCTTATTTCAAGGATCGAAAGCTCTTTGTATTTTAGAGACTTACTTTGGGGACACATTTTCACACAGCTTGATATTTTGTTTGTTAAAGGCATGGTGGAGCTAGTTCCTGCTTCAGATACCCTCAGGAAAATCCAAGTGGAATATGGTGTGACAGGATCCTTTAAAGACAAACCACTTGCCGAGTGGCTGAGGAAATACAATCCTTCTGAAGAAGAATATGAAAAGGTGATCAGAATGTTTACTTTGTTAAAATATATTTTGAAAACTATTAATATTCTCTTAAAACCTGTTATGGTGTTACTATGACTTAAGGAAGACTCATAATTACTTTGAACGGTAACCTAAGAAGACTCCAGCTTTGTTTACTTTCTATTAATGTTTTTAGTAGCTGGTGAAGAATTATGTTTTGATATGGCATTTTTCAAATAAACTTTGTTTTTGTTGTTTGTCTTTCCTCCCCTCTAGAGAGAATGTAGTAGTAGTTACCTTTTAGAAGGGCATTTAGCTTTTGAAATATGAAAAGGCTGACTTTTTTTATTCCCGTGTCCCAATGGGTATATTGATACTGTTAAGAGAGGTTTAAAGATATATATATCTTTAAAAATTTTTTGTCCTTGCATTTTTTGAGACAGGATCACATTCTACTGGCCTGGAACTCATAGCACTCCTCCTGCCTCTACTTCTTGAGTGCTGGGATTATGGATGTGAGCTACCATACCCAGTGCTGCAAATGCTATTTTTAGAGTGGTGGATTGGGTCTGATGTGGTAGCTCATGACTTTAATCCCAACACTTGGGGTAGAGGTGGGTGGATCTCTGAGTTTGAGGACAGCCTAGGCTACAGAGAGAGAGTTCCAAGAAAGCCAGGGCTACACAGAGAGACCCTGTGCCCCACCACCACCACCACAAAAAATGTAATGCAAATCCTGCCTCCTTTAAGACATTTTTCTCTCTAATATAATTTTATTTCTTTATTACAGGCTTCTGAGAACTTTATCTATTCTTGTGCTGGGTGCTGTGTAGCCACCTATGTTTTAGGTATTTGTGATCGGCACAATGACAATATAATGCTTCGAAGCACAGGACACATGTTCCACATTGATTTTGGAAAGTTTTTGGGCCATGCACAAATGTTCGGTAGCTTCAAAAGGTACTAATGTTATTACTGTCACTGAAGGGACACGTCCCGGGGCTTGTCCTCCTGCTGTGCTTTGCCTTGTGGCTCTTTTTGAACATAACTGGGAATTAAAAAGGCCCTAAGAGATGACCTTACCACATAATAGACAAAACCAGTGTCCATTACTTTGTTGAAGTAAATGGGCATTTGTTTAATCTAGTTCATAGTATCTGCTAGAAATGGTTTCGTTTGTATAATGATAATGAGTATAAATTTTTGTCTGCATATTTTTTGTGACCACTGTTGAATTTCTCTTTGGGCATATAGATTCTTGAGTAATCACTGTTGTGAAAATTTCATATTTAAGTTCTGTCCCAATGCTGAAGTTGCTATGTTATAGTTTTCCTCAAAATGTGAACATTCAAGTATTAGGGAAAGGCACAACTATCTGGTGCTGTTTCCTACTTGAAAATATTGTAGCTCACATGGCTTATTTAATATCTTTTAACAGCAATGGCAGCATTTATTTTGAGTGGATTCTGTAAATATGCTCTGTGTGTACTTTCAACAGGGATCGAGCTCCTTTTGTGCTTACATCTGACATGGCATACGTCATTAATGGGGGTGAAAGGCCCACCATTCGCTTCCAGTTGTTTGTAGACCTCTGCTGCCAAGCCTACAATTTGATAAGAAAGCAAACAAACCTCTTTCTTAACCTTCTCTCACTGGTAACTGTTCTTTAATAATGTTGAATTGTATATTAGAGCCTCTCTGTTTTGATAATTTAAAAATGATGCTTTTTGCTTTTGAAATAAAATTTATCATAGTCACAGTTATCAAAATTTTAGTGCAATATTTTTAGATTACTACTCTAAGTACTCACTGTCTGAACTCCACTGATTAATATTACAAAAAGTCAGGAGAGTGGTGACCCCGGATGAAAAGTAGTAGTAACTGGAGCTTGGAAGGGGCATTGGCTGCTGCTGAGTGAGTGTGCATTTGTGTCTCTAGATCTAGTATTTTCAAGTGGCAAACATTCATTAAGCTGTATACTCAGGATTTCTGTACTTCCTAGGATAAGTAGCACTTCTAAATTAAAAGAATAAAAAAAAAAGTGCTGTAGTTATTGTGATTGGAATTGTTATAGTAAAAATAGGCCTGGGAGGGAGATCTGGATTTTATGTGTTTCATTCCATGTGTTTACTTCCAGCAAGTTATATGGCTCCATTCACTTTACTTTTCTCATTTGTAAGAGTCACTTACAAATATTAACAGACTGAAGTATATGATAGTTTTTGTTCCTTTAATTCTAAGTGCTTGACCAAGAGAAATTTTAACATTTTTTTTTCCTCCTTCTATAGATGATTCCTTCAGGGTTGCCAGAACTTACAAGTATTCAGGATTTGAAATATGTTAGAGATGCACTTCAACCACAAACTACAGATGCTGAGGCTACCATTTTCTTCACTAGGTATGACATGATTGTGTCAAAATGCAAAAGGCTAGGGATGTAGCTCAGAGGTAGAGTGCTTATCCTCTTCTGGGTGTTCATTCACCAGCACTGAAGGAAAAAAGGTTACTAAAGTTGAGCAGTGCTTAGAAAAATGTTTATTCCTTTCAAAGTATAATCTCAAGGTTATTTATTATATAATTTACATCGGATGAATCCTGCTTGTAAATATATTTCTAAGAAACAAGTATTCCAGCAATGATAATGTTCCTTTTTTTTTTTTTTTTTTTTTTTTTTTTTTTTTTTTTTTTTTTTTTTTTTGGTTTTTCGAGACAGTGATTCTCTGTATTTTGGAGCCTATCCTGGCACTCACTCTGTAGACCAGGCTGGCCTTGAAGTCACATAGATCCTCCTGCCTCTGCCTCCCAAGTGCTGGGATTAAAGACATGCACCACCAACACGCACCTGACAATGTGGTTTTTAAGGTTTATTTCTGAAATTATTTTTTTTTTTCAAGATTCTACCATAACAACTTCTATGACTTCCACAACACAGCAGCAGACTGATACAGTAGGGCTGTAAACTATTACTTTATGACAGTATTTGAAGTACATGCTGGTGAACAACTAGCATTTGAATGTCATTGTTGTTTTCAATAAAAACAGATCTTCTTGGCTATGAAGAATTAGCTCACATTCATGTGTCCTTTCTTCCTCTTGCCTTCTTCCTCTCAGTAGAGAGAAGGTGTAGAGCCCTGATCTGATCCTTCCTACACTCAACAGTTTAGCTGAAATGAAGGAAGCTGACTTTTCATATGCTTCTCAACTAACCTAGCAATTGGGTGTTCATAGTTTTTATTGTGGTGGTTGTTCCCCTCCCTTAATGCTTGGGACCAAACCCAAATCTGTGTGCACTTGCAATCATTTTACTACTGAGCTAAATCCTCAATCTTCTATGGGTTTTGTTTTAGTCAGTGGTTCTCACATGCCAAGCAGTTGCTGAATCCCTGAACTACATCTTAGCCCTTCAGTATGCTTCTGAGTCTTGTTGCTCCTTAGTGATCTAAATGTCTTATTATCCAGGCCTGCCTGACAAGTGCTTTTGCAAACTCTATCCCTTCAAAACTTCCTTTCCTAATTAAGTGTGATCGTGTTTATCTGGGAATCTTGCTACCAAAATCATACCATGCGGTTTAGTAGAATTTTTTAAATGTGGAGTAAAATAATAGTCATCTTTTTAGTAATACAGTAATCATTTTCTAGTTCTAATAGCTCTTTGATCTTGAACCCCATATGTTCAAGAAATGCAAACATTATTTCTTCATTGCACTGATTTTTTGTTGTTGTTGTTGTTGTTGTTGTTGTTGGAGTGAGACCATTTTAACAGTTTTTCTTTAGCCCAAAGAAAAAGAGAGTCCTTGACAGAGTGAAAAATCTATTTAATACCTTATCTTTTAATAACATTTTTGTTATTTCTTTTTTTTATTCTTTTATTAGTTCAAATTAAGAACAAGCTTTTTTCACATGTCAAACCCTTCTCCCTCTCCCTCCCCTCCCCCCTAACATCCCACCTGCCCCTAGCCATTACCCCTCCGCTCCCCAGGCAGTGTAAGGCCCTCAAAAGGGGCTCTCCAAAGTCTACCACATCATCCTGGGCCAGGCCTAGGCCCTTCCCCATATGTCCAGGCCAAGAGAGCATCCCTTCACATAGGTTTTAAGACCTTACATATTTAAACTAGGCACTTCCCCATGTGTCCAGGTCAAGAGAGCATCCCTTCACAAGGGATGGTCTCTCAAAATCCCTTCTTTTTTTAAGAGCTTACATATTTAACACAGTGCGTTTATCTCTGTACAAATGGAAAAATTTAAGTTCAACATTTCTAGACCAATATGGCTGTTAATTTTTGTACAATGTCTACTCAACATGGTAAAATGGAATACTTTTTTCCAAAGTTGACAGCACAGCTAAATTTTGCAAAAATTCAAAATTTTTGAATTTTTGAGAGAGAGAGAGAGAGAGAGAGAGAGAGAGACCAATAATGGCAGTATGTTGTGGAGGGTGGAGGATAATAAATAATGTGTGGGAGTTGGTTCTCTCCTATGATGTGGGTCTTAGGGATTAGCCTTGAGTCATCATGCTTAGTGGCAAATACCCTAACTTGATGAACCTTCCCCAGAGCCTACCCCTATTTAAAGAGGACTTTCATCTTTTATTATCTTGAATTTAGCATGTGTCTCCATGAAAACTCACTATTAACAAGTGTTTGCTTATTTTCTAGGCTGATTGAGTCAAGTTTGGGAAGCATTGCCACCAAGTTTAACTTCTTCATTCATAACCTTGCTCAGCTACGTTTTTCTGGTCTTCCTTCTAATGATGAACCCATCCTTTCATTTTCACCAAAAACATATTCCTTTAGACAAGATGGTCGGATCAAGGAAGCCTCTGTTTTCACATATCACAAGAAATACAACCCAGATAAACATTATGTAAGTTTGTTCAATATGTGTAGATAATCATATTTAAGGTTAATCATTCATTTTTCACTGACTGCTGAAGTTCTAAGCATTAATTCTGTGCTTGTTGCTTCCATGGCTGGTACAAAAATAAGTAAATATACTTAAAGAATTATTTTAATTTGATTTTGTGTATTGTTAAATTTGTTAAAAATCATGAGGGTCAAAATACATTCCTTTTTTTTTTTTCTGTTAGAGTATTTCCTTATTCTTTTATCTTTTCTTAATTTCAAAGGTAAATCTTGCCTGCTAAACAGATTTAACCAATACAATTCAAAAAGTCTTAAAGCCCCATCTGAGCATGGTGATTCACGCTTTAATCCCAGCACTCAGGAGACAAAAGGCAAGGACGTCTTTGTGATTGAGGCCAGCCTGATCTATATACCTAGTTCCAGGACAGACAGTGCTGCTTAGAGAGACACTGTCTCATAAACCAAACAGCCAACCAATCAAGCAAATAGTCTTAAGCTCCCATTCTACTTTCAGTACAGTATTTTCCTATTTGTTTGTGTCACTAGGAATCAAACCCAGGGCTTTAACGACTACTATACATAAAGCTTTTTTTGTTTTTGTTTTTTTGTTTTTTGTTTTTTGTTTTTTTGACTGGGTCTTACTATGTAGTCCTGGTTGTCATTGAACTCTGTGTAGACCAGGCTAGCCTCAAACTTAGAAAGCCACATTTGTCTGGCTCAAAAGTGCTGGGATTAAAGGCATTTGCTACCATGCCCTGCCAAACCTTATTTTTAAACAAATACAGGATTTGTATTGTTTTTTCCACGCTCTTCATGGCTATTATTATTTACCTTTGTGCTATTTAGTTTGTTGTTTTTCCTTCTCTTTTTTCCATGCTGACAGTCAATCCCAGGGTCTCAGACATGCTAGCTGTATGCTGTACCACTGAACTACACCTCTATCCTCCATGCTAATATTTTTTTAGATAATGTTTTTCTTTTAATCTATGATGAATAGATTTTTAGAAAGCCATTTCACTTTTATTTTAATCATTTTGAGGTTATATTGCGATTGGTTTATAATGGCACTGGAAAGTGTACTAAGTTTATACACACATAAGCCTCTTTTTCTATGAATGTATCTGATTTTTCTTTCTTTTTTTATATTTATTTATTTATTTATTTTGCTTTTTCGGAGACAGGGTTTCTCTGTGGCTTTGGAGGCTGTCCTGGAATTAGCTCTTGTAGACCAGGCTGGTCTCGAACTCACAGAGATCACCTGCCTCTGCCTCCCAAAGTGCTGAGACTAAAGGCGTGTGCCACCACCACCCAGCCAGTTTCAAGTTTTTATTTGAATCTTCCAGTAGCTAAGTTCAGTCTCAGAATGCAGTTGTGTATGCTATATAAATACAGTGAACTCTATTTTATAATGTAATGTGCCTGTCATTGATTTCTTTTCAGATTTATGTAGTCCGAATTCTGAGAGAAGGACACCTTGAACCATCATTTGTATTCCGGACATTTGATGAGTTTCAGGAACTTCACAATAAGCTCAGCATTATTTTTCCACTTTGGAAGTTACCTGGGTATGTTCCTATCCTCACAAAAAAATCATCCTTATTTTCCTATGTAGAAATTATTTATTTTTGCATGTGGGTAGAAAACTTTGGTTAACATTTAATTACAGTTAAGATAAGTACCTCCTACACTATTGAAAGTAAATAAGGAGCTTGAATTTTATGTTGAATGAATATGTGACTAAAATCTTAAAGCTAGGCCTGGTGGCACATGTACACAGGAGGTAGAGGCAAGAGGACACTGCAAGTTTCAGGTAAGCCTGGTTTCAGAGGGCTATTTTAAATATGTAACTTATGTATGTATTGTCTTAAAAACCAAAACCACAAACAAGGTGTGAGCTTTCAAGACTCCAATTTTGTCACCTTGATTGTGCAGACACAATACAGTTTCAAATAAGATTATAGAATCTTGATTTTAAAAAGTCAGATGCTACAGCTGCAGAAATCCATACTGATCTCCTGTGATAAATAATAAACCTGAAGCCAGATGTTACCACTCAGCTGGTAAAGGCTCTTTCTTCCAAACCTGACAACTCTGACCTCAACATGTGCCATCCATGGCATAACACTGACCCCTTGCCAATTGCCACTGAAATTCTTAGATGTAATCATCCTTTTCCTTCCTTCCTTCCTTCTTTTTTTTTTTTTTTTTTTTTTTTTTTGGCTTTTCGAGACAGGGTTTCTATGTACAACCCTTCACTGTCCTGGAACTCTCTCTGTAGACCAGGCTGGCCTCTGCCTCCTGAGTGCTAGAAGTAAGGGCATAATCCAACACTGCCTGTCAGACATAATAATCTTAATGCTTTGCTTTTTTTTTTTAAGATAATTTTTTGTTTTAAATTTTGTGTGTTTGCTGTCAACCCCCATAGAGCTGGAGTTATAGTGGCCATTGTGAGCTGACCAATATGAGTGCTGGGAACTGAACTCAGGTTCTCTGCAAGAGCAGTACATGCTCCTAACTGCTGAGCCATCTCTTGCCGTAGTGCTTAGCTTTTTATCTTACTCATTTTGTAAATCATCAGATTTACTGTAGCTTAAAGATCAGTAGCTCTGCCAGGTGGTGGTGGCACACGCCTTTAGTCCCAACTCTTGGGAGGCAGAGCAGGCGATCTCTGTGAGTTCAAGGCCAGCCAGGGATACATAGTGAGACCTTGTCTCAAACATCAAACAATATATAAAGTTTGTACTGTATATACTCTCTTTTTTTACCATCACCAAAATAAGAATTAAGATGATGGTTTTGGTACCTGATTTAGGGCCTGTGTCATTGTTTGTGTATTTTATTGTGTGATTATTGAGTGATGATGATTCTTTTAGAGTTAAGATCAGGTAAATATTTGTGAATGATTAAAGTTGAAACCAAGTAACAGAAAATAAGTAACATACAGGAAACTAGTAAGACATGCATCTTTTTCTTTCCTTTTTTCCCCCTCTCCCAGAGAGGGGATTGTTGAGGTAGGGTCTCACATAGTCAGGGTTTGCCTAGAATTTGCTATATAGCTGAGACTGACTTTCAACTTCTGATCTAGGCATGTGCCACCATGTCCAACTAACACATGCATCTTGATGCCAAGACTTATATAAAGAAAATGACTAATTGAAAGTAGTTTATCCCCAGTGTTTTGAATCACACAGGCAACAATATAATAGATAAAGACCCCACTTTTGTATTTTAAGTATATATCAAAGTATATTTCTAAGTAAATATTGTGCATGATACTATACAAATTCTGATGAAATATTTAAATCCCTTTTTTTGTTTGTTTTTTCTTTTGTAGCTTTCCTAATAGGATGGTTCTAGGAAGAACACACATAAAAGATGTAGCAGCCAAAAGGAAAATTGAATTAAACAGTTATTTACAGAGTTTGATGAATGCATCAACAGATGTATCAGAGGTGACCTTCCAATATAAATAAATAACATATTCTACCTTTGTGTAATTAATATTTAACTAATTAACCTTTTTTCTCTTCAATCACAGTGTGATCTTGTTTGTACTTTTTTCCATCCCCTACTTCGTGATGAGAAAGCTGAAGGAATAGCTAGGTCTGCAGGTGAGATTATACTTTTTCCTTGTGGTGGATAATTCATTACTTTTGTGGTGGAGTGGAGGTAGATGTGTGTAGGGGCACATGCATGTATGTGGGGTGCATGCAGGTGTCTATGTTGGATTTTTATTTTTTAAGATTTAGTTTATGTGCATGAGTATTTTGTCTGGAGATGATAGATACCATGTACATGCCTGCAGAGATCTGAAGAGGGTGTTGGATCTCCTGGAACTAGAGTTATGAATGGTTGTAAGCCACTCTGTGGTTACTGGGAATATAACCCAGGTTCTTTGTAAGAGCAATAAATTCTCTGTTTCTCTCCCCACCCCACCCCCAAACAGGTTAGTCTTCCTCAGTCTATTTCTTTTTTTTTTTTAACAGTTTCTTTTTTTAATATTTTACTTATTATGTATACAACATTCTGCTTCCATGTATATCTGCACACTAGAAGAGGGTACCAGATCTCTTAACGGATGTTTGTGAGCCACTGTGTGGTTCCTGGGATTTGAACGCAAGACCTCTGGAAGAGCAGTTGGTGCTCTTAACCTCTGAGCCATCTCTCTCCAGCCCAAGACACACTATTTCTAGAAAAATTTAGCATTCTTAATAATTGTGATTTCCAAAAAAAAAGAACAAATTAGTGGCATATGAGGTTTACTTTTCCTATCTACTTCCCCATACCCCACCCTCATGCAGCAGTTCTTTTGTTGAAGTGTGAACCATCACAGGCACATTGAAATAAAGAGGAAAGTATTTCTGTTTTCAGGTGCAGGTCCCTTCAGCCCTACTCTGGGCCAAATAGGAGGAGCAGTGAAGTTATCTGTGTCTTACCGAAATGGCACCCTCTTCATTATGGTGATGCACATCAAAGATCTCGTGAGTGGCTACAAATGATGACTACATAACAAATCTGTACCTTAGTAGGAAACATTACGTTAAGAGACTGTTTTTCTTTATAGGTTACTGAAGATGGGACTGACCCAAATCCATACGTCAAAACATACCTGCTTCCAGATACCCACAAAACGTCAAAACGTAAAACCAAAATTTCACGTAAAACTAGGAACCCAACATTCAATGAAATGGTAAGCTAAATTTTATTTCTCAAAATTTTCTAGAGTTTTGTTTTGAGATTTCAATATTTTTCTTTAAGATTAATTTATTTTATGTGTATTTATTGTTTTGTGTGTATGTAAGTGCATTGGGTGTGTGCCTTTTACCCACAGTGGGCAGAAGTGTGTGCTGGTTTCTCTGGAACTGGAGTTACAGGAAGTTGTGAGCTGCCATGTAGGTGCTGGAATTGAACTCGGGTCCACTGCAAAAGCATCCAGTGCTTTTAACTGCTGAGCCATCTTTCTAGCCTTTCCCTCAATGTTTTATTCGTTTAGAAATCCTCTTACCAAAACAAAGTGTCAGCTGAACAGTAGAGAGTATAACTGACTGAGATCCTCAAGGCCAACTAGCCCATGAGTAACTAAAACAAGCTAAAGTTCCCTCACCTTGCTCAACTATTTTTTGGGGTAGACACATTATTTAATTCACACAAAAAAATGGCTAGATAGAAATTGACAGACAACTTGAATTATTTCTTTTGCTTTTGTTTTTGAGACAGGGTCTCACTGTGTAGCTCTGACCTGAAATTCACTATTTAGACCAGGTGGCCTTGAACTCACAGAGATCCACCTACCTCTGCCTCCTGAGTGCTGGGACTAAAGGCACACACCATCCATCCTCACCCAGCTGAACAACCTGAATCCTTATCAAGATTGTAAATTTATCAAAACCTATAGAAAAGCCAGGCATAGGGCTAGAAAAATGGCTTAGCATATAGGAGCACTTGTTCTTTCAAAAGCCTGGAATTCAGTTCCTAGCACCTATGTCAGGGGGCTTACAACTGCCTGTAACTTCAGTTTCAGAGAATCTTAACACCATCTTCTGGCTTCCTCAAGTACCCACACATGTATGACATATACATGAATTTTTTTTTTAAGTAGTGAATAAAATTTAAAGAGAAGAAAGCCAGATGGGCTGGTACATTTCTGTACTTATAGCTCTTTAAGAGTCGAAGCAGGAAGATCATAATGTAGATTCAAGGTCAGCCTGGATTACATAGCAAATTTGAGGTCAGCCTGGGCTATCTAGATACAGAGATCCTGTCAAACACATATTCAAACAAAGAGCCCTCTAGAGAGTCATTCACTCTTTAAAAACACATGCAGTGTTTACCAAAGAACACCTGATGTTAGTCTTGTTAAACAGCAGTGGGGTTTTTAGTGGATTCTCCACTAGCTATTCTGTCAAGACAAAGAAATACAAGCAAGTATTCCTGTGGTTGTTTTAGTCAAACAATGAGAAGGTCTAAATTAAATATTTCTCAGAACTTGCTGTGAAACTTTGTGGAAAAACAAGAATTTTAAGTGTTGTGATGAAGATTTAAAATAGCAGAAGCTTTGAGCACTGCAGATCTGCTGCAAACTGCACTTTCAATGTGTTTTTGTATCTCCTTGTGAATAAAATTTACCACTTCCTAGTATATGGTATTTAACAGAAGAAACCAATGAAATTTTAATCTGTTTTTACAAAATAATTTTAAAATTATATTTTCCAACTTGCTTTCCTTTCATCCTCTTTTTTTCTCCAGCTATTAGATCATCTTAAGGTAATCACCAGGTAATTTCTTTTCCCTTCCCATCACTTCCATCTCACAGAAACCATGACTGAAGATTGGGGGTCTTTTGTTTGTTTTATTTTGATTTTTGACAATGATTGGTCCTGCTTTATACAATCTTTGTTAAACACTGATAGGAATGATAGTTCAATACAATATTCCACAAGTTAAAAACATGCTTCTGATACACTGAGACAAGCCCTGCTTCTATAGTCAGTGCCATTCATTGTATCACTCTAATACCTTCATCTTTTACTGAAAATATTCCAAGAAACCAAACCCTATCATTTTTTCCCTCTCTAGCTTGTGTATAGTGGATACAGCAAGGAAACCTTGAGGCAGAGAGAACTTCAACTGAGTGTACTCAGTGCAGAATCTCTACGGGAGAATTTCTTCTTGGGTGGAATAACCCTGCCACTGAAAGATTTCAACTTGAGCAAAGAGACAGTTAAGTGGTATCAGCTGACTGCAGCAACGTACCTATAAGCCACGGATTTCTGAGCTTTGGAAGAAGCAAAGAGTTATAAACATATGCATATGTGTACACACACAAACACACACACTTGGGAACTTTATGTATTTTTTATACTTGGGCAGAAATTATAAACTTAAATATACTTGCAGTGTTTCAACATATTTGTTGGACCAACTGTCAATTATACATAACTAACTTTTACAGATTTGGGGAAGCCATTGCTGTTTCAAAGTCATTCTATTGAATAATACCAATCCCAGACTTACTATATTAAGACCTGGAAAAGACTTTGAGGTAATACTGTGTCATTTTGGCCACCTTGTCTGCATTCTTCCCACACAGACACAGCAAATTGGTTTTCCTGTTATGCACCTCACAGCCTTTACCACTGTGTATGCTCACAGACACCAAAGGAATGATGCAGCTGCTACTCAACAGGCTGAAAAGCAAAGCACAAATAGTAGACAGAATGCTAAGAACTACTAAGTAGTTTGCAGAAGTAGAGAAAAAAATACTATTTTTATTCATTGTTAAAGCCTTTTCAGAATAAGTGCCAATCACTGGAGTTGTAAATAATGTGCCTTAACTTTATATGCTTCATTGGCACTTCATTTCTGATTAAAGAGTAACTAGTTTTCATTCATCTTCAGCTTAATAAGGACAAAATATTGGGTACATTTACTAATGATTTTCCCACAAAAATACTATTTTCTCTACTTCTGATTGTGACTTAGTTATTTTAACTATTAAGCTATTTGATTTAATGTTCGTTGCCCAATAATTGAATGAGATTCACTGATATAATTGTATTCTAAATTCTGTCATTCCACTAATCCTACATTTATATGCAGGGATGTGAACTGAAATTGGTGTTTCACTTCCATGTATTTATACTGTAATCTCTCATTAAACAAATAGAAATTGTTCAGCCTTGTGCCCATTTTTGTTTGGTAAGAGACCCAGGATAAGGACTATAGGCTCCAGACTGAATTTTAATATAGACATTTATGGAAGGTGTTGTGTAAACTGTCTTGTATTTGTAAACATTGTACATTCACATAAAAGAATTATTTTCTGTAATACAAGGAAATTCAGAATTACATGAAAGAAATTTAAAGTTATTATGGAGTAACTGTTAAAAATAAGATTCATTTTTATTAGTTTCTCACTTCAGATATAACTGTGTCTTGTTTTGGTAAACATGTAAATATAATAAATTTCATGGTTAGAATAGGAGTTCAAATATTTTTAGAATGGTAATAGAGATGTAGCAAATCTGGTGATCATGAGAAAACTGACAAACTACTTAATGAAGGGTACCAAGAGAGGACAATCTGATTCAGTTTGCTAGAATAAAATTTTTATGAAGTGTACAAAGTGATTAGCAGAAATGATGATGCTTACAGAGCTAAATGAAGAATCAAGGGTGTTATCATTTGAACAGATTTTTAAAGAAATCAAAACTTGAAATTTTTGGTGCCTAACACTATGGTCCATTTATAGAGAAATTTTTTTATATTAAAGTATGTTGTCTACTTGATAAATTAATTAAAACAAAGATGAAAGCACCATTGTTTGCTTTTTCCACAATTAACATTTCCTTAAGTTGTTTTGCATATGTAAGTAGCACTAGAATTTTCTTTTTCTTTTGAGAGAGACTTGATTCCATTCCATAAGTCACCTATCTACTTTTTTAAAAAGATGTATTTGTAAAAGGTTGTTATTGATTGGTCTCTATGTGGACTTTTTATGATCTGTTATAGCATGCCTTAGCACAAATAATAGAACTAGAGAAGGTAATGTCACTTCTCAGTGACAACAAATCTAAAAGTATATATTGTGATTAATACTGTATAGTTAGGAATTCAGAGCAAAAGGTAATATTTTCTCTTAATTTAACTCAATCTGCGCCTCCTTTGGTCATTCGAGCACATATATTTTAATATAAGTTATTTCTTTGTAAAATGCTAATCTTCAGCCCATACCAAAAAATAGCAATAGGGAGAATGAGAGTAGCATCTTTGCACTACCACTGCAGTCAATTATATAAATCAGCTTGTTTTCTAAAAACCTCTTAACACTTACCTTAAAATAAATCTGAAAAATAAAACTCTAAACTGGCCAAGACACTAATTTTTATGTATAATCACATTTATAACTACCTTTGTCAGGTAAAAATAATTCTGCTACATACAAGTCCTGTGCCGGAATTCTTTGTTCTTGACAGTGCTCTACAATTTGAAGATGATGGTTTATCCCAAGAACCTATTTTCTCTGAGGGACCCACTGCTGGCACCAATGCTTTTTATTGCTGTGTTTATGTGAGTTGAGTTGTTAAAGCATGTATATCTTTTTTACATTTTTTTTCAAATTAAATTTCTATGAAATTCAAAAATCTTGCCTTAAATTGTTTAATTCTTTCTAGGATTCATGAATTGTGGCATTTAAAAAATTCACTTTGATAACTCAGATTTAAAAAGAAACACTGAAGCCCTATTATAATACACATGTATTTACATGCTGTTTACTAGCAGTGCAAATATGGATGTGCTTACTGGTGTCATCTGTTAAGAACCAAATGCTTTAATTATATTAGCATAGTGAGTGAGATGTATATTTTTATTAATACTTGGAATATATTCCGTGGAATGAATGTGACTTCATAACTATATCACAATTATATTAAAATATTTCTGGAATAAAGGAACTCAGCTGTCTTTTTTCCTTGTTTTAATATTTTGGTTTCAAAGTTTTATAACTGTGTTCTTTGCATCTCACCCAGAAATTTGTAAAGTTTAGTAACCCTGAATTTCAGATCTGGTCTGTGAGGCTTCCCTAAAATGTCTAAGAAGATAATCTGAATTGATATCTGAGTGTGATTCTTTGAAGGTCTGGATATTGTTTTGCTACAGCCCATTACTATTCCTGAGATGTGAAATTTTCTGTAGATGTGATTCTCTGATAGTTCGTTCACTTAAATAGTAATAACAGAGCAACAGCCATATTCTAGGTATAATTCACAGTACTGTGCAAATTCTAACACTATACCTTTATTCCTGACAATGAGCACAGCTTTTCTCTAACTTTATAATGTGGGGAGAAAAATAAAAACAGTTAACACTCTGAAAGGACAATTGAAGCCAAATCTCCATGCTGCTCATTAAAGATTCTTTGAAATAACTGAGTGCCTGCCTAACTTCCTGCCAGGCTGTTCGGGGGTGCTGAAGTTCAAATAGTATCATGGATGGGGGCTAGAGAGATGGATCAGTGGTTATAATGGCTTCCTGCTGTTGTAAAGGACTAGAGTTTGGTTTCCAGTACAAAGGCACAACTTATTACTCTAGCTCTTGGGCACTATACACAACACACACAGCCATATATGCATGTAATAGTTTTTTAAAATCTTAGAGGCTGGAGAGATGGCTGAGGAGTTAAGAGAGCTTATTGCTCTTGTGGAGGACTTGGGTTTGGTTTTAAGAATTCTGTAACTCCAGTTCCAAAGGATCTAATACTCTCTTCTGACCTTCATGGGCACTGCAGGTACTGTGGTGCAAAGACACGCATGCATGCATACATACATACATACATACATACATACATACATACATACATACACTCATAAACCTATTCCAAAATATCTTAATTTTTTTCAGGTAGACAATATGTTGGTATGTGTAGGATCAGAAATGTGCCTGAAATGTTTAGAAATAATGGCAGAGTGGGAGGGCATGAGGCCAGGGGCATAGTTTTATTTCAAATGCATTGATAAAAGTACAGAAAGGGCCCCTGGGATGGCTCAGTAAGTAAAAAAGGCTTGCGGTGCACTGACAATCTTAGTTTTGATATCCAAAGCCAGATAAAGGTGAAAAGATAGAATAGACTCCACAATTTTTTCCTCTTACATACTATATATTTACATTTTTTAAAACTTTGTATTTTATGTATGACTGTATACCTGCATGCAAGAGAATATCAGACACTGGTTGAGAGCCACCATGTGATTGTGGGAATTGAACTCAGCAACCTCTGGAATAGCAGCCAGTGCTCTTGACCGCGGAGCCATATCTCCAGCCCTACCCCCACTTTTAAGGTGTTTTGTTTTTTGGTTTTTTTTAATTAGCGGGATTTACACAGGAGCAATGCATTTATCTGACCTCTAGGTTGACAATAGGTTGTATATAGAATGGGGTACCATTTAAGCCTCCTGAGAAATGGATAGAATTGATATACCCATGGAAACAAGTAAATGTATCATGAATTTCTGTAGTAAGATGTGTTTGGGGTGACTCAGGGAAATGAGAATAAAGAACCCTGCATTTATATTGTGGGCAATTGTGTTAAACTGAAATGAAGGGCTCTGGCTTAGGGATAGCGAATTGAAGCCAGGTCACATATCTGGGCTAAAAGTATGAATCTGGTTAATTATCCAAATACATCTTTGCAGCCGAGTGGTGGTGGCGAACGCCTTTAATCCCAGCACTAGGAAGGCAGAGACAGGTGGATCTCTAAATTTGAGACCAGCCTGGTTACAGAGCGAGTTCTAGGTCTGCTATGAAAAATACAAATTTGATTCAAGTTCCCAATGTTTTGGAAAACATTCAACTAGTGATGGGTTAAAAGAGTGAAGCTGGACAGGGAATGGTGGCTCAGGCCTTTCATCTCAGCACTGCCTCTTGAGGCAGAAGGCAGGAGGACTTCGGTGGGTTTGAGGCCAGCCTCGTTTACAAAGCAAGTTTCTGGAAGTACGTAGAGACACCCTGCCTCAAAAAAATAAATAAAACGTTTCAGTACTGTGTTGTTTTAAACACCCTGCCTCAAAAAAATAAATAAAACGTTTCAGTACTGTGTTGTTTTAAAGCTCTCACCCGTCACTTGTCAACAGTCTTAGATCGGTTTCCTTTCCCAAGTTCTTGCTTTTGATATTTTCTGTTGCATTTTTTGTTTTTTGCTTTTCGAGACAGGGTTTCTCCTGTCTCTGTCTCCCGAGTACTGGTACTAGAGGCGTGCGCCATCACCGCCAGGCTCTTCTGTTGCATTTTTAACAAATTTTCAATTTACCCATTCTTGAAACGTATTATGGTGGACCCGCACCACGTCACCCTTAAAAGTTCAATTCCCTAGGTATTCCCCTTGAAAGGTTCAGGCATTATGCTGGCCTGCCCCTTTACTCCTCTTTCTCTCTCTCTCTGTCT